CCTCCTCCTCCTCCTTCTCCTCCTCCTCCTACTCCTCCTCCTCCTACTCCTCCTCCTCTTCTTCATCCCAGCACTCCTCCTCCTCCTCCTCCTCCTCCTGCTCCTTCTCCTCCTCCTCCTCCTCCTCCTCCTCCTCCTCCTCCTCCTCCTCTCCTTCATCATCCCAGCACTCCTGCTCCTCCTCCTCCTCCTCCTCCTCCTCCTCCTCCTCCTCCTCCTTCTCCTCCTCTTCTTCATCCCAGCACTCCTCCTATTGCCACTGCCGCCGCTGGCTTGGCGCTAACCCCGAAATGCAATTGCCATTAGTCCACTGAGCGTGAAGTGTCGATCCGAGTTGCACGCCGTCCCAATCGCTTCGGCGCGGTCATCACGTCAGGCATGTTGCGCCATCAAGCTCGGCACAGGTTGCGCTTCGGTTTAGCCCGACAAGAAACACCTTGCCTGTATTCGAGTAAAGTGTGTTGGTGGCAAACGGTGTCCTTCCCCTCGGAGGCCTTTGGAGGCCCAAGAAGGCCACGAACCCTTTGAAAAGGAGTGCACGTGGTATTCTCTCTGGGCATTCGGGGCCCGTCCTGAGACCTTCTTGGGCCCATAAGAGGCACGCGACGAGATGCGACGCGCCCCAGGGGGCACGCGACAAGACCCAGGAGACTTGGCAATTGTGGGCCCGGGCCCCTGACAGAATCCTCAGCATTGAGGACTGAGGCTCAAGGATCTTGGCTAAGGAGCTGAGATACTCCAACCCGCGCCTCAATGGCACTGTGGCGTACATACGCAAATAGTTCAGTCCATGTCCAGCATGCAATATTTATATACGTATCTATAAGCAGAGAGAGAGAGAGAGAGAGAGAGAGAGAGAGAGAAAGAGAGAGAGAGAGAGATCCTCGAACTTCGGTCCGACGAGCAATGGTGGCCAGCGGTTTTCCCCCACGACCAGGCCAAGGGAGAACCGACACCGAGCGCGAGCGGGAGAGAAGGTCCGGGCGATTCCAAAGCAAGACAGAGACGGAGAGCAGACGGGGAAGCACAGGCGATCGAGAATCGAGGAGAGGGGCACGAGTCGACGGGGGAGAGCACGAGGAGGCAAGCAAGGGCAGGCAGGGGAAATCATGGATCGAGGATACTTCCGCAAGTCTGGGCCTCCGACGGCATCCAGAGGCCTCTGGAGACCTCTCGGAGCCGCCGGTCGCTGTCGAAGACGACGACGACAACGACGACGGCGACGACGACGACGACGACGGCGGCGGCGGCGACGACGACGACGACGACGGCGGCGGCGACGGCGACGGCAATGACGACGACGACGGAGATCCAGTCCAGGGGCCCGTTTCGAAATGTGGCTCTCGCCTCGGCGCCGCGCACATTCGTTTTCGAAGTTGGCGACAGCTTCGAGGATGCAGGGGCGGTTCCCTCGCAAAGTGCGGAGTGGCACGCGAAGGCGCGGGCACTGCGGCCAAGGCAGGGCGCGGCCGACCGCGGCGCTGGGCCCCCTGCTGAGTGCGGCGCGGGGCGGCACGGAGCCTGCAGGGGCGTCCGCGGCTCGGTCGACTCGGCTGCTTCGAAGCGCCGCCTCGGCGGCGCCGCAGGGGTTGGCGTTGCGGCGAGCGCGGGTGCCCCTGAGCTGCCCGGATGCGCCCGTGCTGAAACGCAACACGTACCATGTTCAAGACGTCCGTGCTGACACGCTGCGCGTTGGCTCGGCACGTGTTGGTCCACGTGTTGGCGAACGTGTCGGGCCAGACCTGCGCGTTCCGTCTACGTGTTGAGCTCCGTGCCAGTACGCTACGTGATACGTCCTGCGGATCGGGGCAGCCAAGCGGGTGCCGAAGAGCCCCGACTGGTTCGCCGCCCTCGGACAGGCGCACGGACGGGGTCCCCCGTGGTAGCTGCGCCACCAGGCCGGGCCGGGCCGGACAACGCGCCGCTGCTGAGTTGATTGCGGCGGTTATTGAGGGGATAGGGGGGTTAGAAGTGCATGTTAAGGTGAGCTATATGCGACCTAACCTAACTAATATGTTTGTTTTGCAGATGCGCTAAGTGATCTAAGTGGGTGGAGCCCACTTCGGAGATTGATCGAATCACCCTAAACAACTTAAGGCACTTGTAACCCACTTACAGGCTGGCTTAGGCCAGATACTTGTAACCCATCTTTGCATCCGATTCCAAGCCCCCTGTCCAATTAGCAATCCCAGCGGTCATCTCAGTGGAGGGAGTAAAACAAAAAAATCGGTCGGTTCGTTTCGATCAGTTGCAGCCCCGCTGCGTCCGTCGAGGCTGTTCTCGATCCATCGGTTTCGGCTTCGCTATCGGCTCGGCCAGTCTTTCGATGCCAGTGTCGTCGTGGACGTTTGTGAAAACGCGCAGGATGGCAGCGCTCGTCCTCTCGCGAGTGCCTCGCGGGCCGACATCCAGTCTGGCCCACCTTGCGGATCTGGCCGCACGGCAGAGCCAGCGCGGTGCTTCTCAGGCTGCACACCTTGGGTTCCCTAGATGCTTCCCCTTGAAAGCAGGTTTGTCCTTCTTTTCCGTCCTGCTCATTGTCACCCTGTTCTTCCTCACGTTCCCCTTCCTCCTCATTCTCCTGCCCCCAGGGCTGTCCACGACACGAGCCGATTCATCGTTTCGCCTTGATCTCCATCCGCCAATCGGGAGCAGTGTCTGGTTCCGCCTTCGCTTCATCTCCCTCGAGACGAAAACGTTATCACCGATTGGTTCTGATAAGTCGCAATTTGAAGTGGACACCGTGGTGTCCTCCAGGATTTGTTCGAAACCCATGTGTTTACTGATTTGTAAAGTTATCAATTGTTCGCCTCACGACCAGCGGTCATGATCATCATTCCCCCATGATTGCTTCTTCACGATTACGCGAGTGGCCCGACTTCAGCACGCATTCCACCCATGATCAGCCCAGCTGTCGTTGCGATGAGATTCGATGGAAAATCGTGTGTTTGGGATTGCGATTGGCTTGTAGATCTGCGAAAAAAAGTGAAGTCCATGCCAATTCGGCTCGTCCTCCAGCCATCTGCGGTCGAACTCTCCGCGCGCCAATCCGCCCCTCTCCGCCGGCCTTGCTCTGGACGGCGCGCATAAGAGGGGGCAAAGCGAGGGGGCCGGCCCGCGAAAAAGATGGGGGAGCTGCTCAGGAGGCAGGCTGCTAAGAAGCCTCCTTCGAAGCCTCGCCGCCCGCCTTCCTCCTCCTCCTCCTCCTCCTCCTCCTCCTCCTCCTCCTCCTCGTCCTCCTCTTATTCGAAGGAGGAGGAGGAGGAAGAAGGAGGAGGAGGAAGAAGGAGGAGGAGGAGGAGTTGGAGGAGGAGGAGGAGGAGAATGGGCCCTGCCTTCCAAGATGGCCGCCCGCCGCTCGCGCGCGCCCCCGCCTGCGCGGCGCCGCCAAGGCATATGTGCCCGCGGGGCCGACGGCGGCTCGATCTGCACCCCGACAGGCGAAGCCCGCCATCGGCACACGTGGCCGGCACGCGGCGAGCGGCCGTGGATAGGGAAGAATGACACAGACATAAAAACTCGGAGGTCCGCGCGGATTTCTCGGATCAGTGCTGGGGCCCCCTGGCGGCGCCTCCGGCGCCGCCCCTGGCGCGCTCCGCCCGCCAGGGAGGGGGGTCCAGCGCCGATCCGAGAAATCCGCGCGGACCTCCGAGATCTTATGTTTGTGTCATTATTCGTTCCCCTCGTGGAGCGCGGGCATTTCCTGGCGAAGATCCGACGAGGTGCCGGGGGTGCTTCGCCGTGGCGCAAGCGAATCGCCAAGGGCCAGCAGGATGGTAGATGGTAGGCCACCCCATGCGCTGCCGCAGAGGGATCTCAGCTGACTGCTCCAGCCGGCAGGACGGCGGAGAGGACGCGCGTAGACGCGGTCGACCGGGGAGGCACCACGAGCGCCAGGAGCGATGAGCGATTTTCGATCGAGCGGGCGGGGGCGACCAGCCGTGGGGCGCTCGGGAGTCGCCATACGGGTCCTGAAGTTTTCGGCCGTTCTCGGGTTCTTGGGACCCTCCACAGGCCTTGGGGTTGTCAGAAGCCGACCCAGACTGACGAGCTGGCCCTGCGGGAGTGCGCCTCTTGGCAGCGAGTGCACCAGCAGGCGTGCGCGCCTCTTGAAAGCAGAAGCAGAAAGTATTCGCGATGGCGTCCGAGGCAGGGCGAGGCACTGGCGTGAGGACCGCCTAGAGACTGGCCCCTCATCTCGTCCTCTGCGCTGCCCCATCGCGTGCCCCCGTGAGCTGCGTGTCGTCTCGCGAAGGCGAGTGCAGCAGAGGCCTGTCCCAGTCCCCGAGTTGCGGCTGGATCGTAAACCCATGTGGTGACTCGCTGTCCATCACATGGAATCCAGTTCAGCATCCTCAAATGGAGGCGGATGTCCATTTCGTCCGTGGGCCTCCTCAACTAATGTTCCCACAAGTAGACCAAATCTTTGAGTTGATCCAAGAGCGCCCTGGTGGACGGTATGCGCGTTCTTTGCTGGTCGGCATGGTTTGGTAGTGGAAGCGAGAGGCAAACATTGTCTTGCAGATTCAGGGGAGCGGAAAGCCGAACCCTACGATACTGATCATTACATTTTGTTCCTCTGCGGCGGGCTGGTTCTTTGCTACCTCCAGCGTGTCATGCTTCACTTGCTCACGTTGGTCTGGTTGCAGTTCACCCTTGTCCTGACCCACCGATTTGGGGTAAAAAGTGTCGGGACGAGTGCGGAGGGTGAACAACATCGACAGTCAACACGCATAGCAAGGATGGGCAACCTTTCCAAGGTTACCTTTGCATCCTTCCCTCTTCGGCCCATCCTTGACCGCTTTCGCTGGCCGCGCCCCGCTCGCAAGGTGTCGGCATGGCCTTCCAAGGCCCGTGCACCCTTAGCGTGCGTCCTCCTCATCCTCCTCCTCCTCCCTCCTCCCTCCTCCTGCTCCTCCGTGCGTCCTCATCGCGCGTACTTATTCTACGGGCTGACTGTATCTATCGGCAGGGTCTTCTCTGCGTGCCTGCCGCCCGAGGTGCCCGTCGACACCGAGTGCGTCATCTGCTTGGACCGCGGGGCGCAGCAGAGACTGAGAGGGGTGGGTAGCACAGCGGCTGCCAAAGTGGCTTCGATAACATCGATCAACGACAACGATCAAGCTTAGCCAGCGAGTTCACACCGAGGGTTGGCAAAGTCCTCGGTGAGCCTTTTTGTCATCCCGTGTCACGTACTCTCACTGGGTACAGCTGGAGAAAAGCATTGATCGTTGATTGCTTCGCGTTGACCATTATGTCAAGATGTGATTCTCTTCACCTGATGATCCAGATCCAGCGCCCTGAACATACATGTTGCGGCCAGTCACTTCACGTGCAGTATCTGTCGAGCAACACGCTTGATGCAGTAGCTGGAAGGAGCCAGGGAATGAAAGATAGGGTGTGCGAAAGAGAGAGAGAGAGAGAGAGGGAGAGATAACAACAAAAACGGGACAGGGTGCTACAGAAATAGGCGTGCTGAAAAATTCAGCAACACTGTATTGAAACACACGGTCGTCCAAGTGGCACACTCGCCAATGGCAATGGCAGCTGGTATGGGAACAGCAGCCATGACCATGAGTCTGGCATGCCTCGGTAAGCCCAAGCGATATCAATCTTCAAATCTTATGACCTTCATGCAGTTGAACGGTACCCGCTGCCTCTGCACAGCAAGAAGTACTGGCAGAATTTGCAAGATGGGATTAACACGCACGATGTGGCCGCACAAATTGTGAAGGAGAACCGAGGCGCACTTACATGGGTTAATGAACATAATCTTCTGACGTTTGGGAGGGATGACAGACCAAGGCAAACGACTAAGAGTGCGATAATAAGAAGCTATGCGTATATGGAGCCACCCAGAGGCGGGGCAGCCTCTTCATTCCATAAGATATTGCGACACGGATCCGCATAAGCAAGCGGGATAAGAACGCATGTGCGCGGGGCACGGGAAAAGAAAAGCGGCAGAAAGAGGTTGGCATGGGTTTGTCTCCAATTCCAGTGCTGTGCTAGGCGGGTGCCCTCTGGAGAGGGGTGCTGGGGAGGTGCGAGCCTTGCTTCCATAACCCTTGTTCCTTACATAATGTTCCTTGGCAACGATACACATCCGGAGGCCAGGAGGGATAATTCAACGCACGATGGGCTTTAGGTATTGTAAAGACACTCTTCATTTCTTCGTGGCAGGTACAGATAAGAGAAACGGGGAGTCGACACAGCAGCTTCGGCACGGCGCTATGACGGATATCCAGTAGTGGTGTGTTGTGGCATTAGTGGTTGCAGCTTCGTTGCAGATCATTCAGGGGCATCATTCTTGTTGTGGTGGTTAAGCGTTTTTTATTTGTCCTAGATGGGAAGCAGCGGCTGGCAGTTACACGTATACAGTTTAGCACGGGATGGAGCGCAAGGGAGGAAGTCGCCGAAGACGCCACCGAATGGTGCAGGTTGGCCCCCGCAGAAAGCAATAAAGGGAGCAGTGGGGGTGCACACCTCAGCTTTTTTGCGCCTCTCTGGTCTGTCTCTGATCTCTTTTTCTCTCTCTCTCTCTCTCTCTCTCTGGATTACCCTTCCTCTCGTGTTCTTGTTCTCGAACTGTCTCTCTCTCTCTCTCGTTCTCTCTCTCTCTCTTTCTCTCTCTCTTTCTCTCTCTCTCTCTCTCTCTCTCTCTCTTCCCCTATACATATCTCTATAATATTTGTGAGTACATATATATGTACATATATATATATATATATATATATATATACACGTACGTATAGATGCATATATATGTATATATGTGTGTATATATACATATCGTTCTCTCTCTCTCTCTCCCTCTCTCAATCATTATCCTTCTCTCTCTCTATCTCTCTCCCTCTCTCTGGTTATTTCTGCATTTATGTATATACATTTAGATATGCGCGTGTCTCTGTATATCTCTGTTGTTATCTTCCTCTCGTCGGTATCCTACGCTTCTCCGATGTGCACGCGCTTCTTCCCTTATGGCCTACATCTTCTGTCCGCTCTGACGATTTGCCTTCGTATCTCCCCACGCCTTTCAACACATGCTAATGTACCAGTATTGTCCCTCCGTCCTTTCCCGTCGGGTGATTTCCTTGCAATACGAGCACGTTTCATCTATCCTCTACGGACACACGCATTTGGTTCCCGATGCCCTAGACCCCCAATTTCAAGATGCTGGAATATTCGCTCATCGAGACGCTGATTCGGTGTGAAAATGACGCGATGTGTTGCTTGTTGTTTGTGTTACTCTCGAGCCCGGCTTTGCCTAAACGGTTCCTTTCTGTGTTGTGATGATTGGTTTGCGTGGCGGTTGTGATCAGGAGCGGCGCGTTGTGTTGTTCGGTTATTTGAGATTGGGTTATTCTAGGCGTTGCTCGGGTTTCTCAATTGGGTTCCTCGTGTTCCTCGTTCGGGTTCCCACGTGATGCACAGTAATGTAAAGTAATGCAATGCCAGGAATTCCAAGCAACCCCTAACAACGCAAAGTAATGCGAACAAGCGTTGCTTCGAATTGCTTTGAACTGCTCTGGAAGATAAAGGCCCCTAATTGGGGTCGCGCTGGGGTCATTCAAGCCAAGCGTGTTGGGGGCTGGTTTGAGTTCGGAAGTGGCAGAGCGGTGCGCGCTCGAACACCCCAATGTTGTGGCACACAGAGATTTGGAAAAAACGCGGCACTCGCACCTGCATTGTGCGCGTGTCAACCCTCTGCGCGGCAGCCTAGATTCCAGTTCCCTTGGATCAGAAATGCGTCGGGTGAGCGCCAGATCTTTAGCAAACGACGGGAACACGAGAAGCGTTTCTAAGGCATGGATTGTTAGTGGTACTGTTCTGCACATGAAAACAAGTAAGCCCGCGTGAACGCGACCCCAGATAGAAGAAAACGTCTTATTGTTTCGCCGCACTGCTTAGCATATGACTTGGCTTATTGCATGGCAAATTGTTTGGCATATTGGCTGGGCATTACGTCACAGTCCTTGGCATTGCTTGACACTGCTCAGCATTGCTTGACAGTGCTTGGCAGGGATCCGAGGAACCGAGACCAAGGAACCAAGGAATCGAGTAATCAAGAGCGAGAGACCGAAGAACCAAGGCCAGGGAACCAAGGAACCAAGACCAGGAAATCTAGGCCGAGGAACCAAGGAGCCAAGGCCATGGGACCAAGGAGCGAAGGCCAAAGAAACAAGAAGCCTAGGCCAAGGAGCCAAGGAACCAACACTAGGGAACCAAGGGAATCCAGGCAAAGCCTTCGAACCCTCGTGTAAAAAAACAAGGCCGAGGACCCCAGCGCGACCGCATCCGGAACCCATTGGCTCGTTCACAAACAAGTGAGAAATTTTGAGGCGAAGCACAATAAGGGAAAAACGTCCACCGCATACCATTGTTTGCATCAGAAGGTGTGCGGGTTGGATCCAGCCTCGCATTGAATTTGATCATTGCACGTGTTAGATCGACGGTGGTCCGTGGAAACATTTGAAAACAAAATGGATACTGGCCAGGACTGGATGCGGTCCAGAACGGTCTGGTCTGAGAGCTCTCATCAAAAACAGATGTGTGAGGATAGAGTAGGATATAGAGCGCAGGAGGGGAGAGTAGATCAAAGCAGCGTTTCGCAGGGTAGAGTATGACAGGATAGGGTAGTGTGGCGTACCGCAGAGTAGGTAGGATGCACACAGGCTGAGTAGAGTATTTTGCAAGAGTATCTGCATTATGTGGATAACTGCCTTCATGTTCCACTCATTAAGTGTTGAGTCAACGCTGGCTGACATCGTCGTGCGATTCGCTTTGCCGCTGACCTTTCACAACCCTTTCCATGAGCTTATCGTTGCCCTGTGTGTCCCACTGTCGACTCTATCTTTACATCATTATGTATCTCTCTGTCTCTCTCTGTCTTTCAATCTCTCTCTCTCTATCTTTCTCTAGTCCTCTAACTGTACCGACTTCCTCCTTTATGTCATCATAAAACTACACCAAATAATGGATGTGCGATTATGTAAGTATGCAAGCGTATACATATAATGTTGCACGTTCCTGACCACACCCAGCATGACATGCCGCTTCATATTCCAGCTCATGAGCCGCTCATGGGCTACTTGCGTACGTCATTTCTTGTCCCACTGGTCCGCCTGTTTCGCCTTGATGACGAGATTGTAAGATTGAGCTACTGACGAGATTCCTCCTCCTCCTCCTCCTCATTCCCTCTCTTTTCCCCTCTTCCTTTAGGTCGCAAACCTACCCATCTCGCTGACAGGGCTTGCGTGCAGCTTTCGTTGCGTTATTGTTTCGCTGAGCGCGCGCGGCTATGTGGCGGTACCCTTGTTTCACTAGTCCGGTTGTCTCTCACACCTTCTCCTCCCGCCAGGTTGCTCTGCGGGCACTTGTTCCACGAGCGGTGCCTGCGGGACAGACCAAGCCTGCGCAGACGCCAGTTGTTGCCCAATGGTGCGGGAGGGCGGGAGGAGGAGGAAGAGAGAGAGAGAGAGAGTGAGCGCATTGTTCGGAGCATTCGTCCATGGTGCCACCTCGATGCGATCTGCGTCCCGGACTCGGCGGAGGGAGGTCGAGGTGACGAGAGGGGCGCCCTCGCAGATATTCGAGAGCGTGGCCGCACATGCCGCTCGAGGTTAGGACCGCGCACACCCTGCCACAATCGTGGGAGGTGGAAGTGGCGTCCAGAATCTTGTAGGGCGCTCCAGGCAGAGCTTCGCCTTCTGCGAGGCCCACCCTCGGCGGAAGCCAGCAGAAGCAAATCGACAGTGGGCCTGCTGGCGGAAGGCGGTGGAGGTAGAGGCGTCACTATTTGTCGATCCAGGATCTCCAGAGATACCTATTCATCGTTAGGCTTCATTGGGTCGGGCCGCCATTCTCTACAGATCTGTCGTTGCTATTCTCCCCCATCATTGTTCGCATACCCTTGTGTATAGCACTGTGAACTGATTTGTCTTATGTTTCCTACCCCGAAAGGGTCAGTGGATTCGCACGTGTACCATAGCCATCTGGGGCTTAGCAGGCGTAGCTAGAAAAGTTCCCATCATGGTATTGCGGAGCGTGCGTTGAGCACAATCGCTAGCATCGCCTGCCATGGAGCAAGCGGTACAATAGTTGCAGCAGCAGCTGCAGGAGCTGAACGGCCAGTTCCAGCAGTATCGTCAGGACTCGCAGGCGCTAGAGCGGGCGCTCGAGAACCAGTTGATTCAAGTGCAACAGCAGTCACTGGGCCACTTGGCGGCTCAGCAAGCAGAGTTTCTCCAGAACCTAAAGAACAGGGACAGGGTCCAGCTTGTGGACACCAAGGGAATAGGACGACCTGTTGGCTTCGATGGAACGGAAGAGAAGTTTTTACCTTGGAAGGTGAAAGTCGATAATTTCATCACCAGCACGTTCCCTGACTTGGAGCCTGTGTTGGAGTGGGCCCAAGAGCACGGAGGACAGATCGACGAGGCCGACGTCACCGTGGCTTACGGGGACCGGCAGAATCCCGAGTTCGTACCGGACCTTCGGAACAAGGAGGCTCAAGTGCACATGGTTCTGCAGCAGCTTTGCGAAAAGGAGCCGTTCGACATAGTGAGCAACTGTGGTCGAGGCAACGGGCTTGAAGCCTGGAGACTCTTGAACAGGCGCTACGACCCTTCCACCAGCGGCAGGAAGAAGATTCTGCTGGAGCACATCCTCAATCCGTCCCGGATGACGTTGGATGAGAGCTGTCCGGGGCCATTGAGAAGTGGACCGACAGCGTCCGCATGTAGGAGCGACGAAAGGATAGGAACGGCGAGCGGAGTTCCATCCCAGATGACATCAAGATCTCTGTTTTAGAGGGCTTGGTGCCTAAAGAGCTCGAGAAACACACGCTTCTCAACAGCGATCGTTTCGATACGTTCGCCAAAGCCATGGAGGGGATTGGCACTTACCTCGAAGCCCGCACAGGAACGAGGCTGAAGGTAGTCGACCACAGTGGCAACAGGAACCCAGACGACATGGATGCCGGAAGCTTTGTCAAGGGCAGGCCAAAGGGCGCACCGAAAGGAGCCAAAGGCCACGGCAAGGGCAAGGACGACCGGATGCCCGCCCAGACGGGCTACCAGGGCCTTTGCGACAACTGCGGAAAGAAGGGCCGCAAGCAGAAGGACTGCTGGCGCCCCGCAGGGGGCACGCACCGGCCGGACGCCACAGCCAAGCCCAAGGCTGGGCCGAAGGGCCCCAAGGGCGGCGGCAACGGCAAGGGCGGCGGCGAAAGCAACGGCGGCAAGCCCGTCCGCTCCCTGGAAGAGAAGGAGCCCGAGGAGGAGGCAGCCGACCAGAGCTACCTCTCCCTGAGCCCGCTGGACGAGTGCCGTGCTGGCGGCCCCGAGGAACCCGCACCAAGTGCTTCGCCTGGCGTGGGTCGGCAGGCAGGGGGGCTGAAGCCAGGCGACGGTGCCACAGCGGGGTTGCAGAGAAGCATCTCCGCGGCGAGCTCGATCCGGACGCACCGAGACGTGGAGCTTTCCCTTCGCAGTGCGTATTCGGACAGATTTCGCATGATCAGCGCGGAGATGGAGATGGCCGAGGACGAGGCCACGATGCAGGAGCTCTTGCTGGAGAAGGCCGAGATCGAGCAGAAGCGCGACTCGATGAAGGCTATGGCGAGGGCGGACGACGACCAGCGGCGCCAGCAGCGCCGCGAGCAGCCAGAGAGTTCGAAGGATCCGAGACTGCATCAGAGCCACCACGACGTCATGCACCGCAAGGCCTGCGAGAAGGGCGCGCCGCACCACCAGTCGTGGTACCACGAGAAGAAACGCAGGTGGGCTGCCGAGCACAGGAAGAAGGGCGCGGCGGAGCGCGCGGCCGAGAGGAAACGGCTCGAGGGCAAGTGGCGCGCGGAGTTCGATTCCACAGCGGTCAGGGAGGAGTGCCTGACGACCGACCAGGTGGTAGACGGCATGGACGGCGAGGTCGTCGCTGCGGCCGTCGACGGCAACCTGCGCGTGCACGGCGGCGACCTGACGGGGGCAGGCACTGCCAGCCGCAAGGTGGACAAGTCGGACGTCGCGCTGAAGAAGGAGGACGTCAAGTTCTACGGGCCGCTCTCCAGGAAGGAGCTGCAGTCCTTCCGGCAGGAGGACCCGAACGAGGCCGAGGAGGCATTCTACCAGAAGGCGAAGGAGAAGCTGGACCGACAGCGCAGCGGCGCTGAACTACCCTCTGCTTTTCGGAGGACAGGACCGCAGGCGCGAAAAGCCATCCTCTTTATCACCATCACCTCACTCCATCATCGCCCCTGCCTTCGGGGCCCTCATCGCGGGGGACGAGGAGAGGGAAGGAGGAAGAAGCGGAGGGGCAGAGTCTGCGTTACCTGAGCCCTGGCGCCCCAAAGAAGCACGAGTGGAAAGGAGAGGTTCCGCATTGCAGTGTGAAGATGGAGCGTCACGAGATAAATTTTGACGCCGGGGTGGCCATCACGGTTTTCCCGAATGATTTCGCGACAAGCTATCCCAAGAGCGACCCGAACGTCAGAAAACACAAGACAGCTAGCGCCGAGGAGATCAGCGACGAAGGCGGCTGGAAGGTGCACGGCGCGGATGCGAACCTCAATCCGCGCCGCCTGGAATCGCATCGCCGACGTTCACAAAGTCTTTGTTTCTGATGTAAAGATGCGTGAGCACAGCGACGCGTGGCTAGGCAAGGACGGCGGTTACGCAATTCCTCGCAGACGCAAGTTCGCTGTCGACCTGCGCCAGTTTTTTGAAAAGTTTAGAAAGAGGCATTGCGAGGAGGAGCTTGTTCCAATCTGCATAGAGAAGGGCGCGTTCGTTTTCGACAACTACCTAGAAACACCACCAAACACTGAGCAGGACCAGCCCATCAACCCGCTAGAAGAGCGCTGGGCCCGAGGGCCCGGCGTCGAGAAACGGCCGACACTCCAAGAGGCAAGGCCGGAGGAGGAGAAGGAGGAAGTAGGAGAAGAACAACGGAGCGCCGACGTGCCTCAAGGGCCGGCGGCGCCAACCGAAAGGGAAAGAGAGGAACACGAGGCTGCCGGGCACGTGGCGCACCGAACTGGCGCCATCATTGCGCGTCTTCCCGGGCGGTGGACAACCCTCACCGGCGAGCTCCTGAGGAGCCGGAAAACGCTGCCACTCCTGTCGTATTGGACCACATGTTCATGGGGCAGACTGATGAGGGCACAATGCCAATGTTGGCAGTCAAGGACAAGAAGACAAAACGTCCTCGGTGCACGGCGGTGGAAAAGAATGGCGACGATCCCGTCGCGATCAAGTTCTTGGCGGACGCGATCCGCGAGACTGGGTACAAACGCATCATCTTGAAGTCTGATGATGAAGCGGCCATGCTTGCCCTAAAGACCGAAGCCCAGGAGCAGCTGACGGACGTAGAAGTCGTCATGCAGGAGGCCCCCACACGCGATCACCAAGCAAGTGGTGAGATAGAGGTCATGGTGCGCGAGCTGAAATGCACAATCCGTGTCCTGAAGAATAGCACCGAAGATAAACTGAAAGTGAAGCTGAAGGACACAGATCCTGTGCTCGCTTGGACACCGAGACACGCGGCTCTCTTGATGTCGCGATTCCGCGTAGGTGCGGACGGGAAGACCCCCTACGAGCGGGCCACCGACAAGAGGTGGCGACGTCCCCAAGTACTGTTTGGGGAGCGCTTGTTTTTTTCAGACCGGCGAAGACCAGCAGTCGCAAGCACGATTTCGAGTCGAAGGTCGCTGTCGGTAGCTACGTTGGCACGCACGGCAGGAATGCCGATGTTATGGCCATGACCGAAGAGGGAGTCGCGAAGGGAACAAATATCCACAGGAAGCCGGAGCCTGACTGGTGGGACAACATAGCGCTGTCCAAGTTGAAGGGGCCGCCGTGGAACGCGCGGCCAAAGCAGCGCGAGCTCATGGCAGCGCCCACGCCCATCGAGGTGCCAGCCGCTGCGGCGCCCGCCGTCGCAGCTCCACCGGCCCCTACGGCACTCAAAGACGAGGCCAAAGCTTTGTACGTTAAGCGCGCAGATATCGACAAGTTCCGCATGAGGCCGGGCTGCAAGGGGCGCACGTCCTTGGCGACAGGCATGCACCAGCAGGCCCGTTCGATCGATTGTCGCGCCCGGATCCAGGAGGAGCTGACGAAGACGGCTGCGGGGAGACAGCGCGTTGAGGAGAAGAAGAAGAGGAAGAGGTCCGAAGAGGCTTCTGAACCCGTTGTAGAGGCGAGGCCCAGTCCCCTAGAAGGGGAAGTAGCGGCCAACGAGGCGTCAGGAGCGCCGATGGCCGTAGAGGAGGAAGTCCTAGGAGGAAGGAAAAGAGAGGGAAGGAGGAGAAAAGGAAGAACAGGCGCCGGAAGCGCCAATGGCCGTAGACGCGGCCAACGCAGCTGGCGAGGCAGCGGCCCCAGGTGTTTCGCCAGGGGCTGTTGCGCCACCATAAAGCCCCGCGCAAGAAGGAGGCTCTTCAGGCTCAGCAGGACCAAGCCGGAACGAGTCCTATCGCGGCGTCGACATGGGACAGGCCTTGGAAGTTGGTGGATCGTGCAGTCTGGAAGAGGCGGTGGCCGAGGCGTGCCACATAGCGAGTTTGAGCGTCAGCTGAATTGATGTCTCTGACATGTGTGTTGTCCTGAGTAGTCTGGGACACGGCAGCTTTGATGCTGCTGGCATCGTCAATCCTCCTTCCGCGTCTGTGAACGGCAACGACGTTCAGGCAGGCATTGTCGGTGTGAAGCCAGGTTTCGCGCTGGACTCTGCCGTCTGCGACGCTCTCCAGAAGGAGAGCAAAGCCAAAGTGTGGGATTTGTCCAACCAACGGCATGTGATTGAGCTTCAGGCGGCGGTGAAGGAGGAGGATCCATACGGCGCCATGAGGGCGGCGGTTGACTCGTGTCTTGAAAGGCGTGGCCAGGGAAGGCGCTACCTGCTGGGGAGACCAACCGGCATGCCCGGCTGAGCAGAGCAGGAGTTCCAGAGATTGGGCGGTATCCAAAGTGAAGGGCCGAAGTGCCGTTGGCGCATTCGGGGTCGAGCCGAGGGCTCCTACACGCGAAAGAATATTGCCTGGGTTACTGATTGCGGCCACCTGGCCGAGAGCATCCGGGAAGAGTCTCGGAGGAGGCCGGGTGTAACCTGGCACAGGCGCGTAGACGAGGTCGACGGTAGGCTGGTTTGGTTGAGACTGGCCAGAAACCTCGGGCAACCCAGGTCGCCAACCTCAGCGCTGCGTTACATGCTGCCGAGGAGAAGGGCGAAGTATGCTCTTTTGGGCAGGCTTCGGGCGCCGGGCCCGTGCCAGAGGAAGGAGCAGAGATAGACGAGGAACCCGGGGCATACTTCGACGATATCACCAGGGCAGAGCTGAAGCCCGAAAAGGCGAGAGAAGCCAGGGAGACCGAATAGAGTGGATCAGAAAACAGAAGGTTTACGTCAAGGTCCCCATCAGGCAGCGTTGGGACCGAACGGGCAAAGGCCCGATCTCCTTGACATGGGTTGACACGAACAAAGGAGACGACGCCAACGAAAAGCATCGTAGCAGGCTTGCCGTTCGAGAGATCAGGAAGAACGGGAAGAGAGCACTGCCAGACCACGAGCTGTTCAGTTCGGTGCCCCCGATTGAGTCATTGAAGATGTTGCGCTCTATGCTGCCCACACTGAAGGTGAGCAAGGGGTGGAGGATTAACCTGAAGCTGTAACTGTTCGACATTTCCCGCGCGCACTTTTACGGGGTTGCAAAGCGGGAGGTTTACGTGTCTCTCCCAGAGGGAGACCAACAGGAGGGATATTGTGCGCTCTTGCAGCGCTCAATGTATGGCACGCAAGATGCGTCGGCCATCTGGCAGGACGACCACAGCAGCCTGCGCGATGGGGATGATGATGACGAGGATGGTGATGGTGATTGCGATTGTGATAGTGAGGATGATGATTCGGGTGGGAACGAGGATGATGCTGATGATGACGATAATTGTGAGGATGATGATGACGACGGAGATGGCGTGAACGACTAGCGTGACGGTGGTGATGATGTTTTCGATGGTGATGATGATGACGTCGACTGTGATTGTGATGGTATTGAAGATGAAAATGATGATGACGATGCTGATCATGATCGACATAAGCATGATAAGACGACGATGAGGCGCGCGGTCGTCGGAATCCCCTCTCTGTCAAGAGCAGTCGCCCAGATGTTCCCGAAGGCACCTCCAGGATCATCCTGGCGACGGCGGCGGCGACGGCTGCGACGATGACCATATCATTATGATGATCATGCCCATGATGTTTATGGTAATGCTGATGTTGATGGCGACCACGATGTTGAAGAATATGGTGATGATGGTGATTATGATTCCTCCCGCTATCCAACGGCCGCACTTGTTTTTTGTAACCGCCCCCAGCTCGCGCTAGATCTTGAGCGCGTTCGAAGCTCGCGCGATGGTGCTAGTATGTATGTATGCAGTATGTATGTGTAGATACATACACATATATATACGCATGCCTGTACAACTGTGCATGTGCGTTCAAAGTTACCCGAGTTGGTGAGCGAGTGAATGGGCCTGCGCCATTGTATTTGGCAGGTATTCTAGTGGGCCTAGACTGTACACTTTCAGCGAAAATATGACAAGAGGAAGGTCTTTCAGTGCTGTTGCCTTTCAGCTGATTTGTCGGGTCACACTCTGTTCGTATCACAAGGTCCAGACGAGTGGCATTGCTTTTCACCTACGGTCGGGCCCTCACCCTGCTAACATCATAGGTGCTGACATGGACAGTGGCCAGCCACTGTGCACATGCTGAACACGGCTATGTTTGTGCTCGAGCATTGCTCAAGTATCCAGGAATCGTGCATCACGTTCGCAGAGAATTGGTGGATTATTCGGAAAATCTAAGAGGTGGGCACCTTTTCGCCTCAATGGAAATTGTTGGCGCATGCGGAGTCCAAAGCGCACAAACATGTCAGCAGCTTGTTGTTTTTGTATGACTTTATCCCCCGCTTCCTCGGATGTTCTGTTCGTCCCTGGCATGTGCATACCCAGAGACGTACAAGGCGCGATTCTGTGGCAGAACATTCTGAAGCAGGCATGATTCAGTGAGGACGGAAGTTGTTCAATGCAGAGGCCCCGCTGTTGCAAGCATTACCTGTCAACAGCCAACACCCCGAGCACAGGAGTGGCTCCGGCGAGCACGTCGGTGCCCTTTGTGCAGGCTGTTTGTTGCTTTATGGAATCATGGCTTGAAGCATTTTACATGCAGGGAGGGTACGGAGGAGGGGATTTCCAAAGAGAGCTGGAGTTCATTGCCACAGATCGGCTTGGATGATGGTTCCGACAACAAGAAATACTTGTAGAGGCCTCAGGCCTGTGCCGCCTATCCGGGACGATCTGGAACGCTCCGTGCGAACGCGTCCTGTTTAATAGTTTGTGAACTGAGGGGGGATGGGGAGGGAGGAGGAGGACGGATAAAAAGAGAAGGAGGAGGAGGAGGAGGAGGATGGGAAGGAGGGTGTTGGCAGTCGCCCTAGGCATTATGTGTTGAATGGAATGTTTGCGTCGTGTCCGTCTGTCGAGCTTGATGGCGGGCGAGTTCCCTGACGTGTTGGCTCGTCAGTGATTTGGGCTTGGGAGCCCCAGCCCCGGCCAGGGCTTCGGCCCTGGCTCAGGCACCGGCCCTGGCCCTGGCCCTGGCCCCCGGTCCCAGCCCCCGCCCCGACCCCGCCCCGGATCGGCCCTGGCCCCAGCCACGGCCTCCGCCCCGGCTCCAGTCCTGGCCCCGGCCCTGGCCCTGGTGCTGGCACTGGCCCTAGCCCCGCCCCGCCCGGCCCCGACTTCGGCCAGGGCCCCCGCCCCAGCCCCGGACCGGGTCTCAGCCCCCGCCTCGGCCCCGCCTCGGGCCCCGCCCCCAGCCCCAGCCCTGCCCCCGGCGGCCCCAGCCCGTGCCCCAGCCCCAGCCCCAGCCCCAGAAAAAAGTTGCAGTCCCCCCGCCCCCCGCCCTCCGCTTTTCCATGAGCAACCCCTGCAACCTTTTCAGCAAAGCTGAGGCTCAGGCTGCAGCTTTAAAAACTCACACACCAGATCGGCGGATAAGAGGAGACGGAGGAGGATCATGTTCTCGCTGTAATGTTATGTAAGGTCGGAGGGCCATGGGGCCAGCACCGGGCGATGCAAGGTTGCAGGGACTCGTCCAGACACGCTTCATTGTCGGAGTTTCCCTGCCAGGCACCTGATGGTCAGCGCGATTCCGATGGGTGCGACTGCCTATTATATGATTGCGGAATTCGAATTGCCGAACTAGAGCGAATAGGGCGGGGAGAGCGGAAGAGGCGATCGCTCCAGTTCCCTTGCGTACCGATGCCATGCGCGGGGCTCTCAGGGCTCGAGCTGATTAGCACAAGCTTGCCCCGCGGCTCCCCAGGTGTGTTCAGAAGCCTCGTCATCGAAAGGTCCCTGTCGCAAGCGGGGCGGTGATGCACTGGCAGGGGGCTTCGCGAGAGCGGGGCGGAGCAGCGTTGCGAGGCTGGACCTGCACGCCGCCTACTGGACCGACGAGTCCGCCCCTGCCAGCGGCCACCAGGCAGCGCCTAGTGCCAGCCCCCTTCGGTTACAGCCATTCCGTAGTAGCGCTTCTTTCTTGTCTTTCGTTTGGCACGGCAAATTGGGCGAGCGGCGGGCACATCCCCTTACGTTGTTGAAAGCTCCGTCGGCAGTGCCCACGATTGTTGCTGTGGTGATCTGATCTTTCACGTACGCAGTACTTGGCCCTGGGGGCCCCGGGCCGTCGCCCCTTGGGGCACATGGGCCACACGAATTTCCCCCTCCCCACGAGGCTTCCCCGCGGCTTCCCCAGGGCACCCCTGGGAGGCCCCAGGAGCTCCAAAAAGGCTCCTGAGGGGAGTCCAAGACGAGCCAAGATGTTTCCTGGACGGACCGCATGCCCTCCAGACAGCTCCACGACGGCCCATGACGGCTTCAAGGCAGCCCAAAAGGCCCACAGTGCGGCCCAAGAGCCCTCCCTCCAAGAAGCGTTCCTGGTGGCGCACACGAAGCGAAACTCGTTTATTTCCTTGTGGTGTTTCAGGATTTCAGCGTTCTCACCTTCTCGGGCTTCTTTCAGCCCATGACGGCCCAAGACGCCTCCAAGGTGGCCCCACAACGGCCTAAGGGGCTCCCGACAGCGCAGAAACATTGCGCAGATGGTTCCAAGATGGCCTCAAGACGGACCCAGGTGGCTTCAAAACAACGCAAGACGGCACAAGGTGGCACCGAGACGGCCCAAAAGCCTTTCTTGGAGGGCCCAAGTAGCAAAATTAATGAAATTCTTATCTGTTTTGAAGATTTGGGCGTTCTGGCCTTTTTCAGGCTCCTCGCAGCCCCCAGCGACCCAAGAGTCTTCCACGCAGTCCAGAGGGCCAAGCGCGGGCCAAAAGAGCTCCCCGAGGCCAGGAGAGCCACACGAAGCGCAAATAATAATTATCAGCGGGTGATTCGAAGGATTTGGGCGTTCCCGCATTCTAGGGCTTCTGGCAGTCCGCGATGGCCCCAGGACAACAGTTGAATTGGTCCCCAGCTAAACTGGGCCCCAGACTGAACTGGTCCCCAGGTAAACTGGTTCCCAGCTGAGCCGTACCCTGCGCCAGGCGCCGCAGCGGGACCCTCCGGGGCCCAGTTTAGCAGGAATTAAAAAAAGGCGCTTGATGTTCCAGGCATCGCATTGGCAGTGGAGATAGCATTGATTATCACACAAGATTCCAAAGCGAATGAGTGGCGCAGCTCTGCATTGCGCGCTTTCCCGCATATCCCAGTCCTTAGATGTGTGTACATACAGTATGAAGTTGTACGAATTCTGTTTTGTTGGGAGCGTTCGAGCTTGAACTCTTCGAGTATGGATGACGTTCGTTTCGCCTCAGCCACCACAGCTTCGACCAAGACATGACGGCCCCACCAAATTGTTCGAGCGAAAGAAAGAGGGTGACGAAGACGAGGCAGAAGCGGAGTAAGAAGAGAAAGAGGACGAGGAGGAGCAATATCCGACGATAAGGGCGTGGATGAGGACGCGAGCGAGAATGAGGACCTGGAAGAAATATTGGAGCAGTGCTCTCTGGTTCGAGCGCCCCTCATTCCCTCGGCCGGAACCCCACAGGTGCAGACAAACATTTGACTTGCGCGTTGTAGGCTGGAGGGCTTGGCGAATGCACCAGTCCTGACAGACCTCTCGGTCTCCTCCGCGTCATTCCCCCTCAGCGCCCTCCCTGCACCTCTTCTGTGACCTTGATTGTGCGACGTGCATCGCGCTCGGTGCCGTATATAACAGTCTCTCTTCTCTCTTCTTCCCCCTCGTTCCTTCCCCCTCCTTCTCTCTCCCTCCCTGCTTTTTGCTTGTCTTTTGCCGACCTTTTCTCCCAGAGATGCGAGCGGCCTTCACGAGTCTTCCTTTCCTGTAACTGTCGTCTAAGACCCCCCCCCCGCCCTTGCCTTGCGGCAGCTCCGCAGAAGTACGCTCCCCCAGCGCGCAGCATCCTTCCCCTGAGCGCTCTCCCCGCACCTCCTTCAGCGCTCTCCCTAAGTATCCTTCCCCCTCAGCGCTCTCGGTCTCCTCCTCATCCTTCCCCCTCAGCGCTCTCCTTGCACCTCCCTCATTTCCCGTAACTCTCGGCCAACATTCCCCCTGCCTTTCTCTTGTGGCATTCCAATTGGGCAGGGCTGGCAGTAGAGCTTGAAGAGAATGTAGCATGATGTTGGCAGTAGCGGGTCTGTTGGGCCACCCCAGTGCACCACAGGCTGAAGTAGGGTGCGATGCTTAGCGGTGCAACCACACCACCCATAGCAGTGGTAACTTGACCGGTCGTCGAGTCCTGACTCTTCAGACTCTGACGCGTGCGCGGCCTAAAATGTGAGATTGGCTTTCGTGTCGTAGCAGTTATGGCAGAAGCATCAGTGGCGACAATGGTCATGCGCAGGGCGTTGTGACACTGTCTTGGGGTAAGGTTTTGATTGGCGCCCTCACTCCGACACTTGCTGAATTATAGATTGATCCTGCTCTTCCAGTGCGCTGGAGTGTTGGTCGGAGCGTGTATTTGGGGTACGGGGGTCCGAACCATATGAAACTGGCCCTCGATGGAAAAGAACAAGTGGTTTGTTGCAGGCACATTGCAAGTTTGGATTGTTTGTGAAGCACGGAATAAAGATTCGCAAAATGGCGAAAGTGGTGTTGAGTTGAGCCGCGTTTGGTGCAAACGATGGTGTTGGAGTCATGGCTCTCATTGTCTTTATTCCTTCAGAGTCCACATGCTTTCCGTCAACGTGTCCCCAAATGTAGCTTTAATGCGAAGGCGTTGTCCTTGCGCTAGAGGATGGCTCCAGCTGCGAGCACGTTCTACACCCCTTGCGGTGCCGTACAACGTGATTGCGTGTGTGCGCGTTCTGTCTTCGTAGGCTACACTTGCACCCGTATGTTTCGGAACATGTGCTCCGCATGCGTTTTTGGACGGTGAATGTGACCGCCGACGACATTATTGCCGTCAGGATGTTTCAGCGAACGAGTTTCACATTCTCTGGACGTAAGACTCCAGATTGCGTGGTCTTTTCTGGAAGCGCGTGATCTTAAATGCTGAGCCAGCGTTCCAGATGCATTTGGCTCTTGACACAACGACCTCGTCTGTCAGGATAAGAATGGCTTCAAGTTGTCGTCGCAAGCCACACGATAGATCTCTTACTTCGCAGTGTCGTATCGGGACCTTTTCGGAACACACGGAAGCAGCACGCATGCAAGCATGTCATTGGGTGAATGGCAGATTGTCGATGGACAGGTTAGCCGAAGTATAGCATTGCGGGCGTTGAGAAGAACCACCCTGCCGTTTTGAACGCGACCCATACGATTACAACGAATACGGTACGGTTGAAAATAAAGATATATCAGAGCACAAGAGGAACCTCAACAATGATGGCGAGAACGACGCGAAGGAAAGTCATGGCAGGAAGGAGTTAGCGCCGACAACATGTGCGTATATAAAGACATACACCTCCAAATGGGGCCAGGGCGTTTTCATGCAAATAATTGCCGGTATCGGACACACAACATGGCATCCGTTCCACTTGACGCATATGCGTGTGTGAAGATTGTCTCTTCTGCGTTCGACGCACACGTCTATCTAGCATTGTCGCATGTTTGCTCGCACGACTTCTAGCACTGCCATTGGGCTGTAGCATACAACTAGAAGTGTTTCATCGTGTGTGCTTCCGACTGGTTCTGAGGCCGCTTGCTAGGAACAAACGTAGTTCGTTAGAGGCAGGCATCGGCCAGGAGGTACTGCGCTCTTACTTTGGAGAGTAATAATCGCTCCTGGCCGCCCCGATGTAGCTAATGATAGGTCTACTCTCCGAGGCATTGAATTTTGATGTCGCGATATTTAAGCAGATTGTTGGCAGCGATATTTAAGCAGATCGTTGGCAGGGATGGTATGTCAGGCAGGGTTGGACGGGGCCGACGAAACAGGTTGAGTTCACCAGGTCGGGGCAGGACTTTCGAAGTAGTTGCGGTGATTTTGCGTTGTCGTACCACGCGGGAGAACGGGGACGACAAAAGACGACTAAGATAAAGTTGCACATGCTAGACTGCACACAGAATCACACCCAGAAAATGTTTCCAAAATGGATCCGCCCGTGCGGCAGGCATAATTGCACGATGCACGAAACAGTTGAAGCCGATGGCATACACGGTACCGAAGAGCACTGCCCATACGAATCGCAGAAGCGCGCATTGATAAACACGGTTCTTCTCCCACAGCGTTGAAGCAACAGTTGGGCAGGCATTGGTGGCGCCCGCCAGCACACCGACAAACGCATACAGGCACATGTTCTATCGAAACGATTCGCGCCGTTCTTTGCAGCGGACCGTCACGTTGGCAGACACAGCCCCTCAAGGCGGCGTACTTCGAAGGGGCATGTCTTGCAACATAGAAACGTGAGATCACCCACCGTGCGGACTGTTACCGCATAGTGTATTTTATAAGTCAGGCGAATATGTTGTATGATGGCATTCCGACCTCACGGGCGTCCACTTACGAGTCGATGGCAGTCGTATCACCACGTGACAGCGGCATCAACCATCAGGAGAGACAAGTCGAATGCCAGTGTGCAGAGTTCTAGGGGGGCAGGGTGGAAGGATGACTTGGCACATTGGCCAGAAGTTCGAGTATTGGAGCTCTTGGTTTTACAAACTGGGCACGATAATGGGCCAGCGCGAGCCCCAGGAGCAATTTGTGCGAGCCAAGCTTGTTTTTGAACGCGCGCAACAAGAAGGCTGCATCGAATGCCATGTCGCCCCAGAAGGTGCCAGACAAGCAATATTCGACGAATATCCCTGCGATCGTCGTCGAAGCCTGCTAGCCGACGAAGGTGTCTGACGCAAGCTCCATCTGCCTTTCGGCAGAGTCGCCAAACCCAGCCAAACTCCAGCCAGATTCGTCCGTCTCGGCAGCATTTCCGACGGATCAGTTCGGGGCCACTTCGTGTCCAGCGCGGTGGCCCATGAGTTCTCCGCAGCACGTCCCGGTGACCCACGTGCAGATCGTTCTCGAACATATTCAGCACGTCCATTGCTCCCTCGTCCGCGATCTCTCCCTTTGCCTACTCTAGTTCCTCTCCGACTGATGGCCATCGCTCATGGGCCCTAATTGGGCCAACGTCGGCTGTCGTTTCCCAGGGAAGCGGCACCCGCCCGGCAGTTGCAAGCTTGACTCGCGTTTTCGAGGACGACCGAAAAGCCGAACCTCTCCGATTTCCTCTTCATCTACCTCGTTCATGGCGTCCTCCGCTAGGCCCGGAAACGTCCAGATCACAGATTTACTTCGAGGACGCGCAGCAGGAAGGTCGTACAGGTCGCCCAGACATAAAGAACAGAAAATGATGATGAACGCTGGCAGAGCGAGCGTCGGCGGTCAGTTTCAACCAGCCAGCCCGCTTCGCCACCACGTCCTTCGGCGTCAACGCTAACCAATCGAGGTCGTAGGTGGCAGTGGCGTCGGCGGGGGAGTCCTGGAAGGTTTTGCCCGAAAAACGCAGTAGACCAAAATCCGCGGGAATCGTGGAGATGACACCACGCCAATTCCGACAGTCAGCGGAATCAAGGTTCGCAAGAGGTTGCGATGATGGAGGTAGCCGATTGGTGATATTCGAAGCGATGTATTCCATGCGTGTCAACATGTGGACAGAGCTGGGCACGAGTTTTGCACAGAGCCTTCTCTTGAAGCAGTGCGTGTGACCATCCGATGTCAGACCAGAGGGACCGACGAGTCCCCAGGGTCCCAGGGTCTCGCACCATCACGTTGTGTTGGAAGCCTCGCTCTCCAGCAGCGTGCGGGGCATACCCAGACGGCCCAGCGGCCAAATTTTTGGCAACAGGAGACTGTTACTCTTTCAGTTCGGCGCTTCGTTCTGGTTATCGCGCCCCGGCAGATTCATCGTGCAACACGTCCAATCCTAGGTTTCGAAACCAGATCACGCACGTTGGACAGCCGACCTTCGAACGTGCAAATCACAATCAAAAAAACATGTATTCCGAATAGAGGATAGCGATTAGCACCGGCCTCTTTCATTCTGATATATATATATATAGACAGACAGCCAGACAGACAGACAGACAGACAAACACATCGATAGATACACACATAATTACGGTTGGCACGGCACGTTGCGAGTTGGAGCTTGCCCAAATGATACGTTCCATGTTCACGTGTGGGATTCTGCATCGTGCACAGCGGCAAGAATTGCACCAGCATTCTCGCATATAGACGTGGAAACTACAATTGCACAGTCAAACCGTTTTGGAAACATGACATCGACAACCAATGTGTGAGAATCGTGTTGATTGCAGGCATTCCATTGGGTCCCGAGTGACGGCCCAATCGGTGGTGCGGTCCCACATTGTTGTCTTATATTCCTGGCGTCCGTGATTTACGTATAGATTTGCGCACGCTTGCAGGTACAATTGATTGTTGTCGAGCGCATCAGAGAATGAGCAACGATAGTAGGAAGACGGAAAAGACATGCATCGTTCCATCTGGTGTTCCAAGTTTGTGTTGATTGCGTATGGTCTGTGTCAGACATCGTTGCCATCGAGGTCGTTTGGATGAGCGTTCGCTGCCTCGAGTTGGCGGGGGGGCTGTAAAACATTGAGTCGCTGGCATATGGTTCTGCTCGTCGGCCTGGGATGCTTCCCGATGATGATTCATGATGTCGAGTGAGTTGCGCGTGAACCACGCCTCACAAGGAAGTCGATACGGATGACAAGAAATTCTTCGGCCGCTTATGTCCGCCAGCCCATCAGGAATCCATCCCTATGCGAGGTGCCGTGAGAAAGGCAGTGCATCATCATTGCTCACCATACGTTGAACGAAAAGAGGGGTCAGCCTTCGCAGACCCTTGCATAACAAGAATTGAGACTATGATGGAAAACATGGAAACTCATTATTCGGCGGAGAGTCTGGGGGGAAGTGAGAAGGAAGGGGTGGGCCTTCTCAGCAGGCTTGGAACCCCCGGCCTTCTGAGAAGTTCCTTAAGCTTTCCCCAAAGACGAAAAAATCTTCTCAGAAGGCGCGAGGGCTTCTGAGAAGTCCCGCCGTCTTCTGAGAAGGCTTCCTCCTTCTCATTCCCCCCCCTCGCTCGCCGCCGAACTATGTCCATATTGGGCTCTTCTTGGAGCGCTTTCGGCGGCTCTGAGCGACCGTTGGGATATGTCGCGGCCACGTGTTTCGGCTGCTTCATTTGTTTGCGAAGATGAAGATATTGAATGTGTTGTCCAAGTGGACTGTGGCTTCAGGCCAGCGAAAAGCAGCGGAAACAAGAAATAGCAGAAACAAATGAGGAGTAAGAGGAGGACAAGGAAAGGGG